AAGGTACCCTCAAACCCTGTATTACAGAATGCTGAGATTGGGGGGTCCTCATACAGCAAGGTACCATCAAACTCTGTATTACAGAAGGCTGAAATTGGGGGTCCTCATACAGCAAGGTACCATCAAACCCTGTATTACAGAATGCTGAGATTGGGGGGTCCTCATACAGCAAAGTACCATCAAACTCTGTATTACAGAAGGCTGAAATTAGGGGTCCTCATACAGCAAGGTACCATCAAACCCTGTATTACAGAATGCTGAGATTGGGGGGTCCTCATACAGCAAGGTACCATCAAACTCTGTATTACAGAAGGCTGAAATTAGGGGTCCTCATACAGCAAGGTACCATCAAACCCTGTATTACAGAATGCTGAGATTGGGGGGTCCTCATACAGCAAGGTACCATCAAACTCTGTATTACAGAATGCTGAGATTAGGGGGTCCTCATACAGCAAGGTACCATCAAACCCTGTATTACAGAATGCTGAGATTAGGGGGTCCTCATACAGCGAGGTACCCTCAAACCCTGTATTACAGAATACTGAGATTAGGGGGTCCTCATACAGCAAGGTACCCTCAAACCCTGTATTACAGAATGCTGAGATTAGGGGGTCCTCATACAGCAGGTGCTATCACACCCTGTATTACAGAATGCTGAGATTAGGGGGTCCTCATACAGCAGGTGCTATCACACCCTGTATTAGAGAATGCTGAGATTAGGGGATCCTCATACAGCAAGGTACCCTCAATCCTTGTATTACAGAATGCTGAGATTAGGGGGCCCTCATACAGCGAGGTACCCTCAAACCCTGTATTACAGAATGCTGAGATTGAGGGGTCCTCATACAGCAAGGTACCATCAAACTGTGTATTACACAATGCTGAGATTGAGGGGTCCTCATACAGCGAGGTACCATCAAACCCTGTTTTACAGAATGCTGAAATTAGGGGGTCCTCATACAGCAAGGTACCATCAAACTGTGTATTACACAATGCTGAGATTGAGGGGTCCTCATACAGCGAGGTACCATCAAACCCTGTATTACAGAATGCTGAGATTGGGGGGTCCTCATACAGCAAGGTACCATCAAACCTTGTATTACACAATGCTGAGATTGGGGGGTCCTCATACAGCAAGGTACCATCAAACCTTGTATTACAGAATGCTGAGATTAGGGGGTCCTCATACAGCAAGGTACCATCTGTGGCGAAACCAACCTCGCCACTGTGAACTGGAGAAGCCTGGTTGCTCGCCTGCTCCCTTTGGACTATGGCCCTGCAGGTTAAACCGTTTATTTCCCCTGCAGAAAGGCTTATTTGTGTGATCTGAGTGCCATTCATCTAATAATGTGCGCTCAGATCCCAGCTATCTGGGGATATGTGAAATGTCTGTGTGTTATGTGTAAAAGGTGACTTTATGTATTTTAAAGTGTTTTATGTCTTTTTGCAACCATGTGCTCAATGTAGTCTGCCTCTATCCCTGGATAATTGGATTACTTTCTCCATTGTGCCCAGGATAGAGGCCCTGTAAAACCTGCTTGAACCAGATAGCCATGCTGGCAGGGGGTTTTAAAAGATACTTTACTAACTTTTGAACCCCTGGTCTGATTCGTGCCATTTTTTAATATGTTGTTCCCCTGAATGGATTGATTATGAAAATGTATGTTTTATGTTTGTGACATGTATATTTTAGAAGTTATAAATATTGTGTAAAAACTGTATTCCTCTGCCGGTGATAATGAGATTACCCATTGTGTTCAGTAATCATATCACCTGCAGAGGGGAGGATTTTGTGTGGGAGTGTCTGGGTGTATTGTACGGATTGATTGGTTGTTTTGTAACGCCCTGTGGGCTGTACTATGTTTGTGGATTGGGAATAAAAGAGACTGTATGTGACAGTACAGGAGATTCTGCTTGACCCTCAAACCGATGTGTCGTCTCGTTTTTGGGGGGAATTGGATTGTATGCTGACTGCCAGGAGTGTAAGCGGATTGTATGCTTTTCCTGTTCGGCTGATTCCAGTGTTCGTGTGTTTCCAGTTCGGGAGTTGGTGAATTTGTACAGTTTGCAGTTTGGGAGTTTGGTGCTTGCAGTAGCTGCTGGTCTATGGGAAAGGGGATTATCGCCTAAACGGTTTTTATCCTCTTGTGAGAGAAACGGTCCGTTACACCATCAAACCCTGTATTACAGAATGCTGAGATTAGGGGGTCCTCATACAGCAGGTGCTATCACACCCTGTATTACAGAATGCTGAGATTAGGGGATCCTCATACAGCAAGGTACCATCAAACTGTGTATTACACAATGCTGAGATTAAGGGGTCCTCATACAGCGAGGTACCATCAAACCCTGTATTACAGAATGCTGAGATTGGGGGGTCCTCATACAGCGAGGTACCATCAAACCCTGTATTACAGAATGCTGAGATTAGGGGGTCCTCATACAGCAAGGTACCATCAAACCTTGTATTACACAATGCTGAGATTAGGGGGCCCTCATACAGCAAGGTACCATCAAACCTTGTATTACACAATGCTGAGATTGGGGGGTCCTCATACAGCAAGGTACCATCAAACCCTGTATTACACAATCAATTAACAATGAAATATTGCCATTTCCTCATACAGCAAGGTACCATCAAACCTTGTATTACAGAATGCTGAGATTAGGGGGTCCTCATACAGCAAGGTACCATCAAACCCTGTATTACAGAATGCTGAGATTAGGGGGTCCTCATACAGCAGGTGCTATCACACCCTGTATTACAGAATGCTGAGATTAGGGGATCCTCATACCGCAAGGTACCATCAAACTGTGTATTACACAATGCTGAGATTGAGGGGTCCTCATACAGCGAGGTACCATCAAACCCTGTATTACAGAATGCTGAGATTGGGGGGTCCTCATACAGCAAGGTACCATCAAACCCTGTATTACAGAATGCTGAGATTAGGCAAGGTACCATCAAACCTTGTATTAGACAATGCTGAGATTGGGGGGTCCTCATACAGCAAGGTACCATCAAACCTTGTATTACACAATGCTGAGATTGGGGGGTCCTCATACAGCAAGGTACCATCAAACCTTGTATTACACAATGCTGAGATTAGGGGGTCCTCATACAGCAAGGTACCATCAAACCTTGTATTACACAATGCTGAGATTGGGGGGTCCTCATACAGCAAGGTACCATCAAACCTTGTATTACACAATGCTGAGATTGGGGGGTCCTCATACAGCAAGGTACCATCAAACCCTGTATTACAGAATGCTGAGATTGGGGGGTCCTCATACAGCAAGGTACCATCAAACTGTGTATTACACAATGCTGAGATTGAGGGGTCCTCATACAGCAGGTGCTATCACACCCTGTATTACAGAATGCTGAGATTAGGGGATCCTCATACAGCAAGGTACCATTAAACCCTGTATTACACAATCAATTAACAATGAAATATTGCCATTTCTTGTGTTTTCTTTTCTACTGGACGAACAGAATGTTGAAACCAAAATGATCTGTAAAGTGCTAGCGC